AACTCAAATTACAGATATTGACAAGCTAGAATATAAAATAAGAAGGTCTTATCTTTTCTATTTGCTAAAATATTGCTCACCCCACTCACCTCTTTCCATTTTTGGAAATGCTCCCTTATATACATAAACGACATGAATAACCAATCAGAAGCTCAGAATGTCAAGTAAGCTGAAGAAATCTTGTTGTAATGTTCTGAGCCGCCCCACTGACATGATCAGGTAGGAAGATAGTAGTAAAAAAAATTGCTGCTTTAGAAATTTTTGAATTGTTATACCAGAACACTGTTTTTAGCATATTATTAATATACATGTGCATAATATATCATTACCAATACTCTGAATGGTTGGTTTTTGCTTAGGAATTCAATAGGGTGGTTTTTGATTGCATGTTTTTAAATTAGTTAAAGAAATTAATATTTTGACATACCTCTTCCATATAGTTATACACAAAAATTATAACAAGGAGTATAGTGGGCTAAATGCTACAGCTATGGCCAAAAGTTTTGCATCACACTAGAATTTGAGAAATGAGATTCAATACATCACGTGAATAAAAACAATTATAAGAAAATCATTTAAGTCTTTTATTAAAAATCATTTAGTCAAAGCAACTTCAAATTATACTGCAAAAGTCTACTGGATGCCGTAATGATACTTAGGAATTGCAGAACATTCCATGGCTTTTCAAGACTTTCTTAATCCTCTCCAAAACGAGGTGTTGAAAGGTTGTATTATCCTTTAGATTTCTCTGTGCAGCCTTTCAATGTAACATTATTGAGCAGGTTTCATTTCACTTTATGAAGCAAAATTAGATAATTCTACAGTGGTGCAAAACTTTTGACTGTGTATATATAATTTCAACCATGTTGATAAATGTACCATTCACCTTCTCTATTAGAACCATTTTCTTCTGTAGGCTGTTCCATGACATGTGATGTAACTATCTCTGAAGAAACAGATGAGACTTCAAATAAGTTAGGGCCTTTTAACAACCTATTGCTGCTTTTTTCTTCAGAGCTTTATTCATTGACTAAGAGAAAGTAAACCTGCAAGAAAATAATATACCAATATACTGATGAAACAGATTTTTAAATGGAACAAGTTCATAAAATTATTCTAATAAGTTTGCACGAACAGTAAGAAATTAAATTATAGAAGTATACTAGATGTGATTCCACAAGTTCCCCAAAAGTGTTCTGTTTCAAGAGTAAATAAAACCAAAAGTAAGAGTAGCAAATATTTTTGTTTCTTACTTTTCAAGTTCATATGTTATGCTGCATTGTAGCCTATAGAGTGAATAATTCTTCTTGTGATTCATGGCATTCACGCATTTTACCAATGTCACAACAGTAAAAATTGTAGCATGAAGCATCCCTTATGTCACATCATTTTAGTGTCCACTGACTGACAACACACTATTGTATAATGGTGCGAGTGGTTAAAACAGGTGAACCCTCCTGGCAGCCTTTGCCCCTCCCTTTTGAGCAAATAAACTAGAAAGAACTGATAATGTATATAAATTTTAAATCGTACTTAATAACAATAGTATATATACATATAAATTTTGTGTATGTGAATGTAATTTTCAGGTTACCTCTGTGAGGTTTGCTCTAAGTGCCAAAGTTATCTGTGTTTCTATCAGGATATTAAAATAACGGTAGACATTCATAATCCGTTTAGTGTATATATAGTGAACATAATGTATCTACAGAACTATTATATAGAATAATAAGTTTGTGAGTGCTCACCATGAGAAATGAACAGTGCAGATATATAGTGGGGTAAGTATGCAAGTGAATTCAAGTGAAGGTGGAAAAGAAATAGAAAGAAAGAAAAAGTACTTAGTAAAAGACAAAGCATATGATTGGGATTTTAAATATATCAAGATAAATAAGCATAGTCTAGCATCAAAGAGTAGAATAAAAAACCATCATATGTGTGTGTTTATTAATATCTAGACATAAGATATTGAGTAATTCAGCTCAATATTAAATAATAAATAGAATGTTACATGGTTTTTGGTTAAGATCTAAACATATCCATAAGCATGTAGTTAAAAGAATTGTTCACAGTCAAGTGCAAAGCCCAACACGATTTGTTAATGATTTCAAACAAGTTCCATACACACAACTTTTTCTTCTTAATTTCACATTCAACCTGACTTTAACTCAGTCAGAAATTAGCTACCACTGCCAAGAAATGGAATATATATATACACACACACACACACACACATGCAAATTTCTCAGTACTAAATGTAAAACATTACATAAAGATTTAATCAAACCATCACGTACAGTTCTAATGAGAGTCATGTTCTTGTTGTGGGGAGAATACTTTTATTTCAAATTGTGTTCTATTATAAAGAAATAGTTATTGCACATATCAGTTATTTTTCTAATTGTCTGAATCTTGAATACCCAAAGTGTGAATTTTTTTTTAGTATTTTTGCTTCCAGTGCCATTCAATAGATGGGGCAGGAGTTTTGGTTACATACATAGATACATGCTAAATCCATTATGGTAAGATAACATGACAACAAACTGCATACCTTCAGACTCATTGTCTGGCTTCAATTCAAAAATTAAAATACACAGTTTAATTTCTTTTTTGATGAAAGTTCACAAACATCTAACATCCATTATAATTTAAAGCTATGAAATTTTTTTATCTTATTATCATAAATAGTACTGAATAAATACAAACGATGTTATCCTGTTTAATATATTAATTTAAATTCAACCTGAAAGAAATACATGATTTTTATTATTATTATTTTCTGGGTCTCAGAAGGATGTTTTACCTGTTTATAAATGAACTCGTTTCTAAATCAAAGCAACATGCACTGTTCAAAAATTTCAAGTTAAAACAACATTCATATTAATGAAAAAAATTCTGTATTTAGTAAGGTTACATTTTTCTTTTTAACTGATACTAGCACATATTTCCTGATGTGAAAAGAAGGCATTTATATGTTCTAATCAACAATAAGAAGAAATCATCAACAAGCAAACAAAAATGAGAAATTCCAACAACATATTTTTCATAACATCTTTCACTACTAACCTCCAACATCATACTGTGATCATTAAAAGGTAGAAAATTCACAATGAAGTTTTCAAATTAGTGCAACATGTGAAAAATGTAACATGAATAGTAAGTTTCAGTCACAATAATCATCACAATAACTCAAATAATCAAGTTAACTTTCTGATTAATTCTTCACTAAAGCGATTAAACCTTATTTTCAACCTAAAAATATTTATAAATAACCATATAATTAATAGACAGTAGAATAATCAAGGAACTGAAGAAAAAACAGAAGTAGGATATAACTATGAAAGGATTATTGTAACAGATCAGTTGTCACTTGCATGGGTTTCCATTAATTGAAGATCTAGTACTTTTAAATTACAAAATAACCAAATAGCTAAAAATATATAATTATTTTCTATGGTGGTGCATGTTTTTGAAGTTTCTAATGTGAATACAAAATCCACAAATCCTTATAAAAAACAACAACTAATTATATATATACACTAATAGTTATTTTTTTCCTTACTGAATAGTTTTGTAATTAAAATGAGTCATGGAAACAGTAGAATAAAATTCAATAAACTATGAAGTACAAACCATTAAACAATCCATTAATGATGAGCAAAATTAATGTAAGAAACTTCATAAACTTTAACATCATCCAATTTTAATTCTAACTCCTCTAATATGCAATACAGCAGGACACACAAGTACACTGTGGACAGCAGTTACTTTTATATTTAGACACCCAAAATATCTCCAATATGTGATTTTATTTAGATGTTATAATACACCCTAATAGGTTACTACACACACACACATTATATATATGATACACGTGTTTGAAATTATAAATCCATATAGAAATTACTATCCAAAGCTGTGCGTGCGTGCGTTGGTAAATCACAGTTTTGGAAATGAAAACTTAACAGGATTATCTTTTTTACTTAGTCTTACAAAATATTTATTATACATTAACTGTGGTTTTTTGAGCTTCGATGGAAAAAATTCTTTACCATACTAACTACGTGAAACTTTACTGTAAAGTTTCTGTTTTGCACAGAAACTTGCACCCACGCATAAACTAACATACTAAAGGCTCTCTTATCCTTAAGCTAGCAAACATGGACGATCAGGACGGAAGATACTTACTGCGCAGCTGCAAACTTCCATACATCCGACCTTTCAGTTAACAACCATTATAAGTAAAAAAAATAAAAAAAACTGTAATAAAGCTGATACACTGACTGGCCAGAATTTCTTCGTGTTCAGATTTGATGTGATTGACATCACTGAGAGTCAATTTCTAGGTCAACTTTCAATAAAGATTAGCACAAGTCTTGAAGAGAAGGATCAACTTAGTTGACCCCCATTAAATAATTAAAATGGCAAGTATTTTGTGACTGAACACACTAAAATCAAAATCTTTCAACAAAGTAAATCGGCCAGCAATAGCGTACGTGGAAGACACAAAACTACTCTAGATTTTTCGTATCGCTGAGGAACAATTAAAAGAAACCCGCTTAGCAACGCCAGGCAACGAGACTTCCTAAATGCGTCGTGCTTGCTGACGTTGCAACTGCATCGTCACGTGATTTAGCTACGCCTTTCCCAAAGTAAAGTTAAAACGAGTTAGGCGCACGAGCTTTCAGGTGTTTTGTAGTTCACAAAATTGCTACGTTTGTACCTCAAATTGTGCGTATATGATAAACAATTAATAACGCAATAACGACACCAAAACCATAAACAAACGCGTTTCCTAAACACAACTTAAGTATTTTTCAATCTTTAATAAAAATAAACAATAATTTCCAGTGCACGTTTATTCTTTTAATAAAAGTTCATAGAACATGATCATTTATTTATCGTTTGTTGTAAAAAAAATCGTTAGTAAGAGAACACGAAATGATTTGTGTGTGTGAGCAAACTGGTTTTTTTTAATTACTCTCAAGATGTGATTCTATACAACAAAAAACGGCAACCTACATTTTTCTGGTGTATCTTACAATATATAATTACTATTGTCTTTTAAAAAATAAGTATTTTTCATATGTATATCACAGCCTTTACTGACTGGCGCCTTAACATATCAAATTATATTACTCTTTGAACTCTTATATTAACACAATGTCAAAAGTCCAAATAGAAATGGCGTATAAACTAATATTACTTGTTTGTTTGTTTTAAATTTCGCGAAAAGCTACACGAGGGCTATCTGCGCTAGCCGTCCCTAATTTAGCAGTGTAAAACTAGAGGGAAGGCAGCTAGTCATCACCATCCACCGCCAACTCTTGGGCTACTCTTTTACCAACGAATAGTGGGGTTGACCGTCATATTATAACGTCCCCACGGCTGAAAGGGCGAGCATGTTTGGTGTGATGGGGATTCGAACCCACGACCCTAGAACTGCGAGTCGAGCGCCCTAGCCACCTGGCCTAGCCGGGTCCACTAATATTACTAATGAATTATATTTGTCAAAGGCATCAATGTTAGGCTTTTTTTAATTACATTGTTTATTCAGTCCCTTAAAAAATGAATAAATAGTGTTAAAAATATAATAGGCCTAATATTAATGTGTTATAATAAGTATTATCATGCTTCGCCAGCTTAGAAAAAGTGTCCACACCATAATCATACAACTGTAGAAAAGAATAACCGCACGAATAACTTGGAGTATTTAAATTCACGTTTGGACCGTAACATACATGTACACACAACTATTCGCCCCCCGTATCAACAATACATAAACATTGCTTGAAAACGTTTTCAAAACTGGAGTAACAAGGACTCATATGGTGATTCCCGACCATGCTTTCCAAACCCAACCATAACGACAAAATGACTAGGATCCTCCCAACGTCAAAAACAACATAACAAAGAAACATTTTTTTATACGTTACATTAAATAACAAAATAAAAAATTACTTTATGTGTAAATACTATAGCAACTGCTTACAAAAATGTCTAAAATGTGAAAGACTAATGGAAGTTGACATTTATTTATAAATGTTACACATAGAGAGACGTTCACAATCCTTGGTAAATATACCAAGGACGAATGCTTAAGCCATTACAGTTTCCTTCTTCCACCACATATGTTGTTCAATATAATGACGATAGTTATGGGCTATCTGCTCTGCAGTCCAATTTCTACTACAGGAGGCTTTTGCATACCGAGGTCAATGTTGCCACCCCCCTCTGTCTTTTGAGACTTTCCAAAGTCCACCAACCCATGCATGGGCGACGACTTCCGAAGTACCGTTCAAGCAATCTTAAAGAAAGAAAGAAAGAAAGAAAAAGTCCATGGGAGATTTTTTGCGGTATAAATCGTTTGTGATGGAACTTGGTTTTTGTGTCTGAATGCTTTGCCATATCTTATTAGCAACGAACTCAAACAAAGATGATATTTCCTGGCGATACAGCATTGTCAGCACATTAGCCTGATAGTATGCAGAGCTTACCTTGCCATCTTCTCGACTTTTCGGATATCTAACTTATTACTATAAGTGTAACCTGCAACCAACATAAATATCATAGAAAATAAAACAAAAAACTTATATGATATGCCATATACCCTTTCAGTATAATGTTATTGGCAGGACGATGATAAAGTGTCAGCCACTTAAGAAGACGTGATTGTACAATATGACAACGTCACGTGCCAGATAGTGAAATACCGCTCGTACATCTTTCAACAATTGGTTTTTCCCTTCGGATATGTGCTTTAGGAGAGGCTTGTGAGCACGACTCTTCTCTTCTTTTTTTTTTATCTAATTTCGTCAGTCATATTATTTACAGTTAGATTCCTAATTTCGCTGATACAGACCGTTGTGTTCTTGGGTGACTTTTGATGACAAGTTGTTTACATTTCTTTACTATCTCTTACATACAACTGTAGAGTAGCCTGGTTTCCGCTGCTGGAATCATGCATTCCCTTGCTTTACCGTTACAGATCGACACTACAGATACCTCTTTCTTCCAAACGTTTAAGTTTGGTACCTCGTATGCTTTTTGCAAAGGAAAGTTTTATAATGTAACTATCCGCAAAAAGAGTTCACTTTAAGACATCATCTACGCTTGCAAATCATCAAACTTTTAACCGCATTGTTTTTAACATTGTTGCCTAAGATTATGGGGATGGCAGGTGGCAAGTTTATTACATCTCCATATCGTTAACATAGTCCGTGAATAGTCCTAAGTGTTTATCTTTAAAATGTAACAATTTGCTCATATCACCAGCAGATGTCGCTGTTATTATTGTTTATTTCACATAGATCTCCACCTGTAACAGTTTTAGACAATCTTAGGTTTTGGATTCTGAAAGAAATATAGCTTGAAGGCACAAGCCAGGTCAAATCTTTCATCTAAAGGTAGTAGTACTTTCTTCCATTAAAGTCACTCGATTTGTACAAATGTCTAGTAATTTCATTAACCTAGTTCATCAAGAGTATCCAGACTCCTCCTCTTATGATGTCTTCAAAATGTATCAACGGGAAAAAGAATGTATCGGTCAGAAAACATATTAAAACTATCTAATTAAAGAACAGTATCGTTATTTCTCGTCTAGCGTTAAAGCGTGCAAGTATTTTACTTGTACGATTTTACGTACACTTCACAATTGTTCACCCCCCCCCCTCAAAGTCCGATGTATATACAATTCAAAACAACCTATGCTCGTGCTTTAAGAAACACAGCTGTTTTTAGTCAATTAACGCATTAAGTCAGTTCATAAATCACAAACTCGAATTAGATACTTGAAACTAGAATACATTTAAAGTGAACAGTTACTTATTCCACAAGACTGCAGGTGTTTGTTTTGTAATAACAGGTTTCGTAAGTTCTACCAGCCTTAGATCGATAAATGTAATTTGCATTGTATGTCACGACTGTTAATTTATAAGCTTTCATCCTATGTGGGAACACGACAAAGTTGAAAGTGCATTTACGCCGTGACTATCAACTTGCTTTGTTGAACCAGATTTACTTCTGGTAGAACAAGTATGGTCTGCTGCTTTAGTCATCGAAGATGCATAACCTCGTATCTAATGCTTCCAAGGTATTCCAGTGTGTGGAACATTGTCAAATTTTATTTATTTTTTTAAATTATAAAGCCCACAAATCTATACACAAGGGTACTTTTTTCTTAAAATGGGTTACCCTATAAAAGTACAAGTATCAGTAATCACTTCACATAAAAAACTTGTCATGCGAGTAACACGTCTTAACTACAATTACTGAAAATTGTAACAAGTTACAGTAAGAAAAATACTATTATGCAAGATGTCAAACTTCACATCAGTTGCCATATGGGCTTTTGTTTACCGAGATGTGTCCATATGCTATCACGGATACAACATTAAACTGTTTTTCTAGGTATAACGAGGCGCAAAACACGGATTCACAATCCAGCACGTTAATCAATGGGCCGCGTTTGGCCATAAGGTTATAATCCCTCAAACTTAACGTTGAACCACCGAGTATCATTTTAATACAGGAAAAAACACAAAATTAATGGAACAGGCATTGAAACATAAAAATAGTACCTTTACTTATTGGTCTTCTCAAAATTAAGATGTACACTATGGTCAAGAATAATTTTAGGACTGAAGTGAAATGTCTCGAAGTATTGGTATCGTATTTTAACAAATTCTGTATTGTGAAAATTAAAAAAAACACGCTAAATTTACAAGATAAAAGAAATTTTAAGTAATTTTGACAAGCATGTTTCATCATTGCACAGCCAGCATGTTAGCAACGGTATGGCCATCGTTCATGCGCAGTTGTCATATGTAAGAGAACATGATGCACTGCGAATGATAATGTCCGATTCCCAACATTTGCATTTTATTTGGTATCGTATCGTACGATGACATTATCAGATCTGTTATAGTAACGGTCCTCAATGTAAATCAATGACTTGAGGTGGATATCTCCACATAACGTGGAGAGATTAGAAAAAAATCTGCGCTCTTAGTGAAAATCTATCATTTACAAAAAATAAAGAAAAAACGGGTTGCCTTAACAGTTTATTTCGGCTGTATTTCGATAATAAGAGAAAGGTGGGTATGGATTTCAAGAGCCTAGAGAGCACCAAATCCTCTAGCAGAAATAGTTAGTGGGTGACACTTGTTCTACTGTTGTTGTTGTCTCTCGGTTTCCTAAATTTAATGAGACAAAAACACGAACCCCAAAAGACAAACAAATAATTTAGTACGTCGTAATCAATCTTGATAGAAAACATATAAAAGCCCCATCTCTCATACACATTTCTTTTCGTTATAAGGAATATCTTCAAACTGTGGTAACCACGTATTTTGTGCATCATCTTCCATTAACTTATTACTTTTAACGCATTTGTATTTTACTTTTCTACAGGAAAACAGTAGCCCAAAATATACCTTGCTTGAATAAATTAATATAACAAACAGTGTGCATATGATTATAATTAAGTGATGCCACATCAATAGAAACTGAACACATTACAGAGCTTTTCACATTCCAATGTATCGTGGAGTAAACGCGGAATATCTTAAGATATTACATATC